CTTGTTTCTTCCTTGGTTAGGTCAACACTGGCAAGATAAGAATGAAACACAACTTTGCAAATAATCTATAAACTGATTAATTTAAAAATTATTTTGTGACTCTCTGTAGCCCTCATTCTACAGGTAAATAAACTTTAAGAGTCCTAAAAGTATCTGCCTATAGAAGAGCAAGAGTCTGATGAGTGAGGAAAAATAGATTCTTACTGTGTTATCCAAATGTCTACTCACTTAGAACCAACTCAATATCCCTCAGTGACATAGGTCACTAAAATGATTTGATAAATTATGACCCCAAATCAGACTGAGTAATGTAAGATTTCCACATTTATCTGGATTCACTTTAAATCACATTTGAAATAAGAGCTCATTGTGCCAGATAAATAATGGCTGCAATTCTTTGTTATTCCCCTCACTGAGAGGTGAAGTCCAACTAATACCCTTCCCCTTGAATCTGGACCTTAGTGACTTGCTTGACCAATAGAATATAGTGAGAAGGATTATTCTGGGATTTCTGAGGCTTGGCCATAAGAAGCCTTGTAGCTTTCACTCAAGCCTTTTGGAACACTCTGCCCAACAAGAACGCTGAGCTGCTACATGAGAAATCTGACTATCTGAGACTATCATGCTGGAGAGACCATGTGTATGGGCTCCAGCCCACAGGTCTGCCTGACCCCACCTTTCCCACCAAGGCCCAGACATTTGAGTGGAGGGACAAACATTATTAAAAGGCGACTGCTAAGCATTTATAAAATATACATAAATTTAAGAACTAGGGTTTTGTATTTATAATTTTAATAAATGTAATGCCAATTTTTAACTTCTTTAAAAAAATTTTATTTTTTAATTAAAAAAAATTTCTTTTGCCCACGCCACGCAGCTTTTGGGATCTTAGTTCCCCAACCAGGAAGTGAACCCGGGCCACAGCAGTGAAAGCACCAAGTCCTAATCACTGGACTGCCAGGGAACTCCTGAAAAATTTTTTTTATTGAGGTATAATTAACAGATAATGTTATACTAGTTTCAGGTACACAATATAATGATTAAATATTTGTATACACTGCAAAATGATCACCATGATAAGTCTAGTTAACTTTTAAACTCTTTTTGAAATAATTTTAGACTCTTAGAAAACAGTAAAAAGAATTCTACTCACCACTCATCCAGATAAATGTTAACGTTTTACTTAATTAACATTTACTTGCTTTACTCTTTTTATTCTGAAACATTTGCATAAATACTTCTGAATGCATTTCTTAAAAATAAGGACATACATACATACCCTAGTACAATTATCAAAAATCAGAAAATTATCATTGATACAATGTTATTATATAATTTAAAGATCTATTCAAACTTTGCCAATTGTGCCAGTAATGTCCTAATCCAGGATCACATGTTGCATTGAGATGGCATGAATTTCTTTCAAGCTCCTTTGATCCAGAATAGTTCTTCCATCTTTGTCTCTCCTGATCTTGATGTTTTTGAAGAATACAGGCCATTTATTTTGTAGAATGTCCTTCAGGTTGGGTTTGTCTGATGTTTTCTGAGGATGTGCATTTTTTGGCAGGAATCACACAGAAGTGATAGGGTGTCCTCCTCAGTGCATCAGGTCAGGAGGCCTGATCCAACAGTACTGGATTTGTCTCCAGTACTGGTCACGTTAACTTTGATCCCTTGGTTTCTCCACTGTACAGTTATGATTTCCTCCCATGTAATAAGTATTTTGCGGGTAGGTACTTTGAGACTATGTAAATGTCTTGTTTCTCATCAACTTTTACCTATTAGTTTTTGTTTTTTTTTAAATTTATTTATTTTTTTGGCTGCGTTGTGTCTTCATTGCTGCATGCGGGCTTTCTCTAGTTGCGGCGAGCAGAGGTTACTCTTTGTTGTGGCGCGTGGGCTTCTCATTGCAATGGCTTCTCCTGTTGTGGAGCACGGGCTCTAGGCATGCGGGCTTCAGTAGTTGCAGCACATGGGCTCAGTAGTTGCAGCAAGCAGACTCAGTAGTTGTGGTGCAGGGGATTAGGTGCTCAGTGGGATGTGGGATCTTCCCGGACCAGGGATCAAACCCGTGTCCCCTGCATTGGCACGCAGATTCTTAACCACTGCGCCACCAGGCAAGTCCCTTAGTTTTAGTGTCCATTGATGATTCCTGTCTGAGATAATTACTACCAAGATAGTTCTCAAATGGTAATTTTTTTTCTAACTCTCACATGCCTTCAACATTTGGTAGTTGGAATTCTACTGTGAGGGAAAGTGTTCCCTTCACTCCTGGACAAATGTATTTATATCAGTGTGGATTCTTATTCTATGCTATAGATAAAGCCTCACTCTCACTGGCATTTGATCTGAGTTCCAAGAGACAACAGACCACAGCCTCATCCATCACTTTGCTTGTTTTCTGCCAATTCATGATTCTGGGCTAGGGGACTCCTAATCGTCCTCTACCCCACCATTACTCAGCTCCACCCACTTTTTTTTTGAGGGACGATTTCAGGGACTCCACCTCCTTTGTTCCAATTTCTTTACTGACTACAATTTAGGATACAACTAACAGACACCAACACAGGCTAGTCTGAGTAACACAAAAGGATTCACAAGGAAACAATCGTGTCCCAGAGCCAAGTAAAGGAACACAGCTATGCCTATGGAAGTTCGATCAAGGCTCTCTCTCAATCCTACTCAGCGTCCCTTGGTTTCACTCTCTCTCTGCAGACTAGCATTCTCAGCTTCCCCATGCACAAAAGAGTAGGGGCATGGGTCCCCCACAGGTACTGAGTTAACATGTACAGTCCCAGCTTGACAGGAAGATTCACTAAACACTCTTGGTCCTAATCCCAGGAGAGAGGATCTGACTGACCAGCACGGGCTAGGTGAACACCTACTAATCTAACTGGCTCTAGCTAATACAACATGGGAGCCAGAGATATGTCACTATGAATGGGTAGCCAATTCCCCAACAACAGGCCAGGCAGGCAGAGAAAGGAGCCTAATGAAATGATCTTATCACATTTAAAAGACAGTGCAGCTGAAAAGATCACAGGGAGGAAAGAGTATCTACGATGGACAGTTAACTGTAGAGGCTGCCCATACAGCTGGGAGAACTTTATATATTCAGTTCATACTTATTGAGAGCTTATTACATGCCAAATATTGTATGAGACTTTGGGAAATCAACAATGTATGAACAGATACTGTCTTCACCAAATGTGTAGTCTAGTGGGAGATATAAAATACTAAATAGCGATTATAATATGAATTAAGTTGTCATGCATGATGCTATATAGAATTACTTAAGAGGAGAACCTTACCCAGACTTGGGAAATCAGGGAAAGCTTCTTGAAGACAAGTCATGTCTGTAAGGCCAGCTGGCCCGGGGAAGAGGAAGCATCAGCTGGTTCCAGGAAGAAGCAGCATTGAGGCAGAGCGTTCTCACGTATTCTGAGAATCAACAGAGACTCTCCCCCGACTTCCTGCCCCAAGGACGGGGGGGTGGGGGGGGGGGAGGGGTGGGAGACTCAAACCCCTGAAAGTAAGCTGGTCAATACCTAGCCCAGCCGTAGCTTCACCAAATAAGGAATCATCCTGCATAGCAAACTACCCCTCCCTTACACCCCAGTAAAAATTTCCCACGCCTAGGACTGGGCGCGACTTCTCCGGCCCCTTTCTCTCGGACCAGTGAACCTCGCCCCTCGCCCGGGAGCGCTCCCTAATAAAGCTCACTTGAAGCTTTCCTCTGTTTCGCGGTGCCGTTTGTTAAGATCCGACCTTACAATGTCTAAGCTGGACTTTTAAGATAAATGTTACTTAGCAAGGAAGGAGGAAGAAAAGGGTTCTAGGCAGAGATGATAAATATCTTTACAAAGTTTGAAAGGCAAGAAAAAATGGCCCACTGGAGAAAGGGAAAGTTTGGTATGCCTGAAAGTTTTGTAGGATAGGAAAGAGAGTGTGAAAGGAAACGAACCCAGAAATATGGTCAAACCGTGGAGGGACCTGTAAGGCACCTGGACTTTAAGAGCAGAAGTGCATGAATTGGGGAGGGAGCACTGGAATAATAGGGGCGGATGTGCAGTTTATAAAAACTAATCCTGGCCGGGCGGTAAAGAGTAAATAAACAACAACAGTACAAGAAGCAAGAAGACTTCCAAGTTACCATTCCTCAGTAGAGGATTTTGCCTCATTCATTTGTTTTGAAACTCTTGCTTACATATTTCCTAAACTTGGAGTCAAAAAATTACATTTCAGATATTCCCCCACTCCCCACCCCCCGACTCCAAAGTACCTTCGAAGTGACAGCCTGGACTTCGGGAGAGAAGCGTCAGCTCCGCTGCTGGAACGCGTCTCCATCCTACGCACCAACACAAACCCTCAGCCTCCGGCTATTCAGAGGCGAGACTTGCCTCTACTCACAACCGGCCGTCCAACTCGACTGCAGGTCCCAGGACGCCCAACGCAACCCAGTACAAACTGCCCCCGCCCAGAGTCGTCCCCGCCCCTTCATCACTCACCATGGCTCGGGCTCAGAGGCGGTCTCAAGATGGCTTTTTAAAGCGTTCTCCTCCACTGCCGGCTCGAAGTACGAGTCCAGCGCTCTCTGCAAAACAAAGACACAGGGATGGGACGTGTGCGCTGCACGGACCAAAGTAAAGAGCGGGAAAGAGAGAAGTAGCGAAAGCGTACTTCCATCTCCCAGTCGTTCTCGGCCAGGTAGCACTGAGCCACGGCGGCGTCGCAACTCGCGACCGAGGCAAACTCCACACACAGAAGTCTCCGCTTCTTCACCTCGGGCTCTCCCTCCTCCCGCTCACCCTCTGGTGCACCGTCCGGACCGCTCTTCTGCTCCATGGTATCCCCGCCAGCTCACCTCCCTCTAACCCGGGCCGAGCTGGGAGACGCCTGGGCCTCTGCGCAGGCGCCCAGCGCCCCGGCGCTCGCGCACCAACCTCCTCGTGCGGAAGCGCGCTCCGCTTTCGGCGGACGACAGCGCGCCTGCGCAGCAGGAAAGCGCGCACGGGCTGGCGAGGGCTAAACAGCGCGTGCGCGCGAGGTCACAACGAGGCGCGGAACGTCAGTGCGCGAGCCGCGGTCGCACCGTGGCCGCCGGTGCACGCGAGTGCGGACTTGGAACGCGTCGCGGGCCCAGAAGGCTGCAAACCCTTCGCCCTTTCTGTCCTTGTTCTTTTGCGGATTTCCGGGCTTCCCTGCTCTTCCAAGAATCATTCTTGAGTGGGGCCTGGGAGCCGGCGAACGGTCCACGATGAGCTGTAAGGCAAAGAGTCTGCTGGAGGCGATAAAGTTCTCAGGAAAGGCTCTCGGTTTTGACAGAAGTTTGGAAAAGGTATTAGAGGCGAAGGCGCGGTTTCTAATGAAGGGAAAGAATGCACCATGCCTGGTTCGTGGTGAGCGCTGAATAAATTGTCTCTGGCTAGATTCTTTTGGACTGCGTCCCTAAATTCACCTTAGTAATAATAATTACTACTTTAATGGAGCACAGTTATGTGCTAGGTGTGCCTACATTGATCTGTCAGTCTTTAAAACGAAAACGTAAGTGGTTTAGCCAGCAAAATGGCTTAGCCAGCAAAAATAGCAGAGGAATTGCACTTTGGGACATGCAAACTGTGGCCAACTATAGGCAAGTCCTCAACTGTTCTTTTATAGCGAGGAGAAGAGAATGTTGAGAGGAGCTGTTTTGAACAAGTTCGCTGGAGGAGAGGAGAGCTGGGGCTGTGGTCGTCTCATTGGTTGAGTTGCGGAGGTTTCTCAGCAGCTGGGTTGTTGCTGGACGAGGAGAAAATCTTCCTTTTTCCTGCTGGGGTTTATAAAGTAAGCTGGGAGGAGTGGTTAAGTGGGGGAAAGTTCCCCCTTCAGGGCTTCCCAACTCCATTTTGAATGAGGTATTTTATAATAATAATTTTATAATTGTAATATTATATAATTGTTATTACAATATTATAAACATTTTTAAAAGAAGTGAAACTAATTTTAGTAAAATATTTTAAGTAACTCATTATATCCAAAACATTTAACATGTAATCAGTAGAAAAGAGTACTTTTTGTACTTAATCTTTGAAATCCCGTGTGAATTTTACACTTACAGCACATCTCAATTCATACTAGCCATGTTTCAAGTGCTCAATACTGACAGGTGACTAGTGGCTACCATGTTAACTGCACAGGTCAGTATCATAGTAGGTGCTCTGTATTTGTTAATTTTATCAAAAATGGATTTTGTAGTTGTCTACTTTTCGTGTGGGAAGAGTTGCTCAGGCTAAAGTACAGGTTTATGCTTAGTGATGTATAAATCCAGTCGTGAACATGGTTCCTTTTACCATAAATTTTAAGGTAACGTGATCTAGACCAGTGGTTCTCATTTGAGGGTGGTTTTGCGCCCCATGGGACATTTGACAGTGTCTGGAGACATTTTTGATCATCACGACTGGAGTGTGGTGGGAGGGGTGGGACTGGCATCTAGTGGCTATTGGCAGGGATGCTGCTGAACATCCCACACTGCACAGGTTCCCTCCCCCGTCCCCACGACAGAGAATCACCCACTCCAAACGTCAACAGTGCTGAGGTTTTGAACACTTGACTTAAACCATCCTCTTATCATTCATTTTGTCCTAGGTCAAAACTAGATAAATTGCAACTTTCTTGTTCTCTATAAGAATATATGAACCATGTCTTTGCACTGAAGTTTCAGTTGGTTGTTCAAATCTTGCGATTTCTACATGTGTTGGCATGGAACTGAATGTGGTCTTTCTCTAAATCTTTGGTTAATAATTCTTTTTTGTTTTTGTTTTTTATTTTGCGGTAGGCGGGCCTCTCACCGTTGTGGCCTCTCCCGTTGCGGAGCACAGGCTCCGGACGCGCAGGCTCAGTGGCCATGGCTGACGGGCCCAGCCGCTCCGCAGCATGTTGGGATCTTCCCGTACAGGGGCACGAGCCCGTGTCGCCTGCATCGGCAGGCGGACTCCCAACCATTGCGCCACCAGGGAAGCCCAATAATTCTTCTTTTTTAATTAATTAGTTTATTTTTTGGTTGCACTGGGTCTCTAGTTGCGGCGAGCAGGGGCTACTCTTCGTTTTGCGGTGCACGGGTTTCTCATGGCAGTGGCTTCTCTTGTTGCGGAACACGGGCTCTAGGCGCGCGGGCTTCAGTAGTTGTGGCACGCAGGCTCAGCAGTTGTGCCTCGCGGGCTCTAGAGCACAGCCTCAGTAGCTGTGGCGCACGGACTTAGTTGCTCCGCGGCATGTGGGATCTTCCCGGACCAGGGCTCGAACCCGTGTCCCCTGCTTTGGCAGGCAGATTCTTAACCACTGTGCCACCAGGGAAGTCCCAACAATTCTTTAAGTCTCTTAATATAACTAGTGTGGTTTTTGCGCCTCACTGGACCTTGACTGACAAAATTATTTTATGTCAAAGAATTGTCCCTTTGGTGATTTAAATATGACACCAGAGATTTTTCAAGGCAAGAAATGCTCACTTTTAAGTGCAGGATTTTAAAATGCAAGAATATTGTTAAAACTAAATTGGAGTAAAGATGTATATGGTCTCTCAGACACACTTGTCCTCTATACCTCATTGCTTTTGCAAAGGTGAGAAGGAATAATGTTTCTGGGTGTAAGAAGCAAGTGAGATGTACAGTACTATTGTGTCAAGTCTGTTCCATCACCCACTCCCACAAAAATCAATGAATCAAGTAGAATAACACTTGAAAATTTGGCTGATAATATTCCAGTGGGGATTTTGTTTTTTGGACAGATGTTTTGACCTGGCATATAGAATCTGATAAATGATGGTGACTTTCTGTTCCTCTAAAAATGATCTGTTGAAAAAGGCAAATTGCAAAATTAGTCATGGTACAGATGTCAAGTCAGTGCATGAGATCATACATTAGAACTTCTTTATTTAAGCCTGTTCTCTTTTTAAAACCTCTGTTTTATCAGTGTTTATAAATACCCACAAAACCTATCTTTTATAAAACACTGATTCAGAAAAACTAACATGCAAAATAAATGTCCTACATGTGGTCTGTCACTCCCATCACTCCAGCCAACTGCCAGCACCAAGCACCATACATGTGAATTATGCCATCTAAGTCAACCAGCTCCTAGCAATCTGCCAGCTGCCTGTAGAAACAAGAGTGAGTCCAGGCAAGCCCGACAGAAGAACTGGCTGGCTGAGCCCAGCCTAAATTGCCAACTGACAGAATCAAAATCTAATAAATGACTTTGTTTTAAGCCCAAAAAAGAAAGTGTCCTGTTCTTGCTATAAGATCACTTTTAAATCAGTCAACAAACTAAGTACTCTAGGTTATAAAGAAATGCCAATCACAATTCCTCGCACTCTAGGAGTTTATCGTCTCAGAGGAGAAAAGTGGGTTCCAAGGAACAGTCCCATCAGATGTGCCCTGAGAAAAAAGAGTTCTATGAATAAATAATTTCAGAAAACATTGACGTTGTATACCCCCTTTTTAAAATTGTAGTAAAATGCACATAACATAAAGTTCACCATCTTAACCATATTAAAGTATTCAATTCAATAGTAATTATTGCATTCACATGGTTGTAACATCACCACCATCCATCTCCAGAACTTTCCTACGATAACTTTTATCATAGGATTTACTATTCATTATTGAAAATATCTGTTGATTTTTCTGTCTTCCCTCTCCTCACTGAGAGCTCTTTGGGAGCAAGTCCATAGCAGAGTTCCATCTTGCAAAACTGGAACTCTACCCATTAAACAATAACTTCTCATTCCCTTTTTTCCCCAGCCTGGCAACCCTCATCTACAGTCTGTCTCTCTGAATTTGGCTACACTATGTCTCTCCTCTGAGTGGAGCCATTATATCCCTTTTATATCTTAAAACTTTTGACTAGTTCTGTGATGAACATGTTTAACCTTATTATGTTTAAGTAACTTGCCAGTGGAACTCTTTCCCCCACAATAACACATGTGGAAGGACATATCTCAGGTGAGATCTGGAATCTCAGGTGAGATCGGGAAATACCATGTGGAATCCAACACACAAAGAAATAAGGGAGGGCAGTTCCGAAGCAAGGTAAAATTGTGTAGAGTCATCCTTGTGGAAATGAGAGGTGAAGATGTGTAGGTGAATGAGATGTCTCAAGAGGAAGAACACAGACTAGAGAGAAGCATTAAGGATTTAGGACTGAACCTTGAGGACATACAGGGTTGAGAAAGATAAGCAGCCTTTGAAGACTACAGAAATGATTAGGAAGGTAAGAATTGACCTTATACTTACTAGAAAAACCTTGAGGCTTTGGGATCTACCACAAAAGAACAGTAATATTATTTAAAATTTATCGACATGATATACCAATAGATATTTCTGGAATACTGTTCCTCAGTGAACAGAGATTATTTCAACTTCTTTGTTGCTGTTTGACTTGTGGCTTTATCATAACTGGCTCACCATATTTACATTCCTGCAGGGCATAATTCCTTCCTGGGAATGACTCTATATTCAGGTACTACATTCCAAACTAGATCAGCTGCAAAAATTCTACCCAAGTTTGTGCTTTCCCTCTTGAGAGGAGATCTGGAGCAGTGGATAGCCCCAATCCTCAGTCTGTAGGTGGTGAGGAAGTTCCTCCTCTATTAGCCCCTCTTTTCCAGGTTCAAGGCAGCAGAGAAGCTGTATTTGAGAGAAATCTTGCCAATGTGATTGATGTGACAGAGGCCTTCATAGCATCCACCTTTATAGGCATTCTAGAATAATTTGATAAAATCTGCCATTTGCCAACCCGATGGGGCAGGTACTATTATTATCCCCATTTTACACATGAGAAAATAGAAGCTTAACTTTTCTAAGGCCTCACAACTAGTAAGGGGGATCTAAACCCAAGTTGTCCGCTCCCTGCCTGTGTGTTAACATCGTATTATAGTACCTAACCTTAGAGAAACTGTCCTGTATCCTGAGTGAAACTGGCACCAACTGTAGCCTTTGGTGGGCTTGTGAGTCTGAATGATTAGTTGACCCTCTGACTCCTGGCGGGCATTGCAGAATAAGAGCCAGCAAAGGGGATGTGGAGTGGCTAGTGGAGGAGGAAAAGAATCCGGAGGTGTGAACGTGGGAGTTCAGGAAAGGCCAGAAAACAGTTTAGATGTTGCAGAATGCTGAGAGGTCAAGTAAGGGACAGGCTGAAAAGCATCCACTGAATTTAGTAATTAAGTCATCCTTGATCTTGGCAACAGAAACAATTCCAACTGGGCAGTTTTAAGCAAATCCCTGCACCTTAAAATTGCTTAAAATAAAAATTTTAAGCAAATTTTAAAAATTTAAGCAAATGTGAAACTATCCAAACCAACTTTCAGTTTGATTGTTGTGTCTGAGTCACAACTTTGATAAGGATGAGAATTAAAATGTTTTAATCACCTATGATATGCCAGGCCCCATTCTAACTTAATTTGAATTTTATCTTAATCTTTATAAAACTCTAGGAGGGTAGTGCTATCATCTCCACTTTACAGCTAAGGAAACGTCAGTTAAGGATCTTGCCTAAGGGGCTTCCCTGGTGGTGCAGTGGTTAAGAATCTGTCCGCTAATGCCTGGGACGTGGTCCAGGGAGATCCCACATGCCACGGAGCGACTAAGCCTGTGCGCCACAACTGCTGAGCCTGCGCTCTAGAGCCTGCGAGCCACAACTACTGAGCCCACACGTCTACAGCCCGTGCTCTGCAACAAGAGAAGCCACTGCTATGAGAAGCCCGCACACCTCAACGGAAGAGTAGCTCACGCTCCCTGCAACTAGAGAAAGCCCGCACAGCAACAAAGACCCAATGCAGCCAAAAATAATTTAAAAAAAAAAAAAAGGATCTTGCCTAAGTCTGGCTCCAGAGCTAGTACTCTTAACAATTGGTCTAGTCACCTGTGTAATTAAGCTACTAAAACATACATTTATTATAAAACTGAAATGTTGGGCTGATACAGCAGCATGGCTGAACCACAATTCTTGAATAGCTTATGCCTTTTTATGGCCCCTTAACATAATTTCCAACTATTTTTCTTGCCGTTGCCACCCTATCACACTGCCACCTTCTATTTTACTCTTTACCTCTTTTCCTGCTTATATGCAGGTGCATTTTTACATCATCCTCAGACACACTTCCTCTGGTATCTGCACTGTGTCACATGTGAAATCAGCTGTGTCCATCATCAGGGCAAATTGCTTTGAAAACAGCCTCCTTTACAAATACACAAAATTCTCATCCACCAGTATTACCTGTTCTCTGTGCTTTTGTGCATACATGTGGTCTTTCGCATTCCATCTCCTTGGTTGACTCACGTTTGTACATACGTGCAGGTTTTCTCATGCCATGTGCCACACTCCTTGAGGCCCGTTACAGACACCCTTACAGAGCCAGAGACATGTTTCTTTATCCATTAGCAGAGGCCCTGTGTGTGCTGCTCAGCAATCAGCAGCAGTCCCAATCAGGCGGTGACTCTTAAAGACCAGAAAGATTGGAAACCTCAAGGCCTAAGAATAATTCTGGGTTCTGGGCAGAGCTTCCTATTAGGGACTGTCTCCTTCATTGCTGTTGACTATTAGGGATCCCTTCTCAATGTCTTTACTGAAAAGCTAAGTGAGGAAGGGAGAAACTGTGTTCGTCACCTGAAGCATATCTCTCTGTGATGGAATATGAGCCTGCAGGTCAGGGGTGGCAGTGGGGGATGCTGTGGTAGCATGAGTCATATAAACTCATGTGAATGCCTGAGGTGCAGGGAAGAGACAGTACACTGCAGGCCATACAGAAAAAGGGCAGATGTTTATATGAGCGCATGTCCATTTAAGACCATTTTTATGCTAAACTGAGGAGTCTGTTGTGTCAGACTGGGCTGAGCCATAAAAGTTCTTGCCAATCTATTGCAGTCATCCAACCTGCAGGATTATTGGGGCCATGACAGCTATATTTCTGATCCCATGGCATCACAAAAGGCTACACGCCCATCTTCCTCCCGATGCATGAGGTCCTAGTTGTCTGCAGCAGTCCAGGTGAGATGTGAGGGGAGGCAGTTTTGCATTAGTGGTTAAGCCAGAGACACCTGGGTCCAATGGAGATAACACTATCTACTTCAAAGATTTGTGAGGATCGAGACAGGGTCTCAATGCCTATAGAACAATGCACGTACATTTCTGAGCATGGTCTGTAACACAAAGTTAGCCATAGTTAGTAACCAAATAAACACGTGTGCTCTCTACAGCCTATATCTTGACTGAGATCTTTTTTTTTTTTTTTTTTAAATAGTGTCCTCCCCACAACCCAATTCTTTTTTTTTGTGGTATGCGGGCCTCTCACTGTTGTGGCCTCTCCTGTTTCGGAGCACAGGCTCCGGACGTGCAGGCCCAGTGGCCACGGCTCATGGGCCCAGCTGCTCCGCGGCATGTGGGATCTTCCCAGACCGGGGCACGAACCCGTGTCCCCTGCATCGGCAGGTGGATTTTCAACCACTGCACCACCAGGGAAGCCCCCCCAGCCCCATTCTTCATCAGACAGGTAGCTCTCCATTGGTTTCTTCCACCGCAAGACTGTTTCTTAGTTCTGGGAGGTTGGGTAGGACATCCCTTCATTGGGATGGACATCCCAATGTTGGACATCCCTTCTTCCATTGGTTTACTTATTTTTACTGAGGGAGACAAGAATTGGCAACGCAGGGAATTCCCTGGCTGTCCAGTGGTTAGGACTCCACACTTTCACTGCTGAGGGCCCCAGGTTCGGTCCCTGGTCAGGGATCTAGGATCCCACAAGCCATGCAGCCCAGCCAAAAAACCAAAAAGAATTGGCAACACATAAAAGCATTTCTCTGCCATATCTGGCTGACCAGTACAAAAGTATCTCTATTCCAACGTACCTTTTCAACCAGTTTTGTATCTTAGTATGTCCTTTGTCCTTTCAAGTTGTGGAAAAAGATAAATATTAAAATCAGTATTTTGGCGGACTTCCCTGGTGGTCCAGTGGTTAAGAATCCGCCTTCCAACGCAGGGGACATGGGTTTGATCCCTGGTCAAGGAACTAAGATCGCACATGCTGTGGAGCAACTAAGCCCATGTGCTGCAACTACTGAGCCCGCACACTGCAACGAAGATCCTGCATGCTGCAATTAAGATCTGATGCAGCAAAAAAAAAAAAAAAAAAAAAACCAAAATCAGTAGTCTGCAGTAGAAAATCCAATTGACATTTGTTTTACCTTTTGTCATCCCAGCCAAAGTTAGATAATAAAATGGAACTTTAAGAACTGAGCTCTACTAAACACACCATACCTTAAAATTACACTAAACTACCTTTGGTGACTATGATGCTTTCCTATTCGATTCTATTTCTTGAACTGCCTGGCTTTTTCCTGTCTTCACCTGCCTAACCCCTGCCCGTCCTTCAATCCACAAATAATTCCCCAGGATGCCTTTCCTAATGTCTCTTCCCTGAAAACATACTTTGATAAGTAAGATCCTTACTTCCAGCAACCTGTATTTATCCTATCTGCAGTAATTCGCTCTACTGCAGTGTGCATGTGTGTCTGTTCCTTTAGACTGGGAACCCCTTAAAAGCAGGGATTTGATCTCGTTCATCTTTAGACTGCAGTGCTTGACAGACTCAGGTAAATGCCCCCAATAAGGTGAGTTTACACCTTGGGCTTGCTTGGTGTGTATTATTAGTTTATGAGGACATCTTGTGGCTAGGTCATTTATTGTATAAATAGACTTGATCCCGTTCTAACGTTTACTTTTCCATTGATTTACCCATTAAGCAAAACATACTATTTAGGATGGTTCATATTTTATAGTTCTGTTTCTGTTTTACATCAGGGCCTTCTAGGGGATAAACAACAACAAACAACTAAAGTCATAGTTTGTGAAATGCTGAAATGTCTTCCTGGTGGGAGCATAAAGGCCGCTGAATACCTAGAGATTCTATAGTTAGCAACTAGGGAGACTTGGAGGTGGACAGACCTAGATCTGAATCTCAGTTCTGTCACATCCTGGGTGACCTTGAGAGTAAACCACTGAATTTAAGTTACACAAACTGGAAATAATCCCTTCCTTGTTATATAGTATATGGAAAGACTTTGGCACAGTGCCTGACATGAAAGTGCTCAATAAATGGTAGTTATCTAGAATTAAACCATTTAATGCTTGAGACATCCTTTCCTGTATCTAAAAACAGACACATCAAATATTCATCCATATTCTGCCTGAACACTTCTGGTGACGGTGAGAATTACATTGCCGGATGCAGCACATTCCATTCACAGTTTAGTTCCAGCTTCTAAATATTATCTATGATGTTTTTTCCTAGTAATTTAGATAGGATATAAGAAACATATTTCTATTATTTTTCTTTAAGTTTCCTTTCTAAAGATGTTTGATATAACATTTTAAATTCATTGTTCCACATTTTATCTTTCATATAATTTTTTCATTATGATACCATAAATGGGGCAGGACCTTAAAAGCAGCAATTTACCTTTGCTGGATTCTATCAAACTTTTTTCATATTAAAATAAGTTTATGGTATAAGCTTATTAATTCTAGTAATGCATTAAATTACTCAATTTCTTCCAATAAATCGTTTTAAACCATTCATTATGAAGTCATTCTAAAAAACTACTTTGTGCAAAAACTAGAGAACATCCAAATTAAAACTATAATGGGTTAACAAATCACAAGGACCAGCTGGCTTTGTTGGTGCAAAATTTCTAAGGAGACATTAAGAGATGCCAGGTTGTTGTACACAGGCTGAAAAGCTCAGACGGAATGTTTGATTTCTGCAGAGGAGTGGAGATTAAGAAAAACTACTCCTGCTTTTCCCTAAGTATTCCTTTTTATTTCAAAACAGTTTACATCAGAGTTAATTTCTATCAGAGAGAGATTGGTAACTTGATTTTCAATTTCTGAATCAACTTTTTGGGGGTGACTTGGTTTAATCCAATGATAGTTCTTGTTAGGCTGTTTGGGCTTTTCTAATACCACCAAATATTCAAAATTTTTTTTTTTTACACTTAGGTGACTCTTGTTTCTGCTGTCCCTGGGAAAGTGATTTGTGAAGTGAAAGTAGAAGAGCAGCATACCAATAAAATGGGCACCCTCCATGGTGGCATGACAGCCACTTTAGTGGATGTCGTATCAACATACGCTCTGATGTGCACAGAAAGGGGAGCACCCGGAGTCAGTGTCGACATGAACATAACGTATGTATCCAAACTGTACCCCAAATAACTTTTTCCAACGTGGTAACTCATTTCAAACAACCGAGACTAAACACATTCGTAACATAAATAAAGCATGAGGTGCCCTTAGCTGGTCATCCTTAAATGCAGCTATAGATTTGCCTTAAAATATTCCATGGTTTTAGAATCTAGAACTAGAGGAAATAATTTCCAAGTACAACATATATCAGTAATAATAAGTAATCAGTAATATAACCAGTAATAAATGGGGAATGATCTAAACACTCAAAAAGGCAAACATTCAGCTTCTAATATGCATACAGTTGGGAAAAAAAATCATCACAAACTCACGGTTTGTAACTCTTTTTCATACAATCCTTAAAAGTGCCACTTGTACAAATGTCTCATGAAGGTTGTACTGAGTACCTATAGAGAAAAGCTAGAATAAAAATAAAAGTTGAGGAAACCTTCACGTATACATCGCCATTGCCTTGTAACACAAATGTCCAGTTTTGCAATACTTCATGTTTTTCTGCAACTGCACAGACATGCTCTCATGATAAGGAAGCAGAACCCCAGATGTCAGGTTTGTTTCACTGTTGTGAAAATGCCTGCAGGGGTCAAACACTTCCAGATGCAAAAAATTAAATTCCCACATTAACTAGTACTGTTGCCAGTGTCCCGTTCACTAAAGAGTGCAGGGCCCGGGGATTTAGTTTCAAGACAATTGATTTTTCCACCTAAGCAAGAGAAGAAAGATTTTTGTTGGAAGGGGAAGCAGGGGTTAGGGTGGGAAAGCCAATGTGATATATCACAAGGGCAATGGAAATAATGTATCAGGTTGTTAAACAATCTAAATCTTTTCTTAGGCTAACTTAACTTTCAGTCTCTCCCTACTATGGAAATAAATTGAGAGTGCAGTAAGCAAATCACAGGACAAGATGCAAATGGTGTTTTGAAATTAAGATGTACAAAAAGAAGGATCTGCTTGGGCACTGGTGAGCCTATTCAGCAGTCCTTACCTTATTCCACATGATAAGGGTAAGACCACTTGATGACTCTGCTTTGCCTCAAGACCCTCTGCAACCCTTTGCCTTAAGATCTCTCTACGAGCAGAGATCTTCCAACCTAGCACTGCATTTCCTGATCTTCTAAGATACTGCTGCTACAATCCTAAAGGATTTTTAATAAGCTAAACATAATTTTGGCCTTTCAAAGTATGTGTTGCCAAAGTATTGGCCACCATCAAGAGCTGCCTGAGATTCAAAAGGGCCTCATATTAATTCCTTATAGTTATTAAGTCATTTTAGAGTTGAATAAATTCTGCATATTGATATGACAAGATATTAACACCAAGTGTTACTTCACCTAGGAAGTTAAGCCAATTAAGTGAAAGCTCAAGGAAACCTCTAGCCACAAATAAATATTAAGTGGGAAACTAAAAAAAAAAAAAAAAAATAGGGCGGTGCGGGGAGGCAGGGGCAGTTGAAAACCCCTTCCTATATTTTTGGGAAAAGAAATTTGTGTGCATAAGGAATCAGTAAGATATAACTTGGTCAGGACCAGCCTTTCAAATTAGAAAGGATATTATTTTTAAACTATTTAGGAGTAAATAAGTAACATAAGGCTGTTATGAGATGCACACAACTTTCTCTTTTAAAACCTATTTGCTGGTAACTAAATTTAAATGTTTCTTTTCAAGGTACATGTCACCTGCTAAAATGGGAGAAGATATAGTGATTACAGCACATGTTCTGAAGCAAGGAAAAACACTTGCATTTGTTTCTGTGGATCTGATGAACAAGGCCACGGGAAAATTAATAGCACAAGGCAGACACACAAAACACCTGGGAAACTGAGAACAGCAGGGTGACCTAAAGAAACTCAACAATGAATGTCCAGAGTAAATCTGACTTGAACAAATATAATTTTCAAAATAAATTAGCACAACCAGAAGTGGCTAAGAAATATTTTCTTTGGGGAAAATGCCATCGAGATCAAGTGGAATATAGGATAGAGTTGTCTATATTCTAAGCCTCTTTAGTTTTAGTTTATAATCATACATGATACTTGGATGAAAACATTCGTAGCTCAAAAGTGTTTTGAAAACAGGTAAAGCAAAGCTAGCAGGACCATTTTGAGATAAGATTACCTTAAAACTAAAATTCAAGATAAAGGAAAAATACAAATTAACAATTAATCCTTAACAAATTGTAGGTCCTTCTCAGCTCTAAAATGTTACATTTTTTAACCCACTTTCAAGATTATGGAACTTCAAAATAGATGAACCATAGGCCACATTGGAAAATAAAGTAGACTGAGTAGTCCTCAACAAAGTTTAAGGCTAAGCACATTAGTGATAAATAGTCCAGTGGGTGCACTGCTTTTCTGAGAATTTATTACAGGAGTGGCATATTTTATAGTGGTGGGGGCAGCTCCTTTTCTCGTACCTAGGATAAAACCATGCAGATCTTGAATCTCCCAATCTGCAGTACTGGAAAGACCAAGTTCACAAATTGTTTAGTCCATTTCTCGAAGTTTTCCTGACTATGGCATTCATAATAGTTGGTTTCTGCCATCAGGGGGTCTTAGTTAACATTTCATGACTGAAGATCATAAAGTTCCAAAGCAACTTTGGAAACTGGAAACACAGTCAACAGTTAAAGGTTTATTGTCCTTTGGTTGTATTAGAATACATGCTGATCTGTCTGCTGAAAGGACAGAAGCATACTTGATAGTAGCAGTGAGCACACAAGAAACCCAGATCTAGTATTTCCCACTAAAAGTAACTTGGGCTCCTTGGAGAAATACCTGATTTCAGAGCTGGGGGCTGAGATAGGGAAATTACAAGATGAACATATCATGTGCTTTGAAAGTAAGGAAGTGCTCAAGAAAATGATGAGAGGCATGAAAATTATACAGCATTGAAAAGGGAGTCCAAACTGTTTAGGTAATAATATTGAATAAACAGCAGAGACAGGAGAGCTCTTCCTTTTAACAGAATGCTGGTAAATGTGGAGGGGTAGATATAAAATAATAACTATAAAATGGGGAAATAGGACATCACATTGACCAATTAAAATGAAAATCAACAGTGTACACGGACAGTGTGTTTCTAGGGGGCATAAGGTACTTACATTGGGCTTTGGCCAGGATACATAATCCAAATCTAACCATGAAGGAACATCACTCAAATGTAAAATAAGGACACTCTGTGTTTTAAAAAATTGGCCTGTACTCTTCAAACTGTCAAGGTCATTAAACAAGCTGAGGAACTGTTCAAGATTAAAGGAGACTAGAAACATGACAACTGAATGCAATGATCCTGTACTAACTATAAGGAAATAAAAAAAACCGCATAATCAAAGATAGGAGGACAATCAACAAAAGTGAAATATGGATGGTAAATTAAAGTATATCATTGTTACATTTGAGTTTGATAATTTTACTGTGGTAATAAGAATATCCTTGTACTTGGGATATATGGAGTACCGAGGGGGAAGGGATCAAACTCCCAAACGATTCAGAAAATATATATAAATATATGGAAAAAGACAAAACGTCAAAATGTCAAGAGTTATTTTGTGGGTGAAGTTTATACAGGAGCTTTCTGTATTACTTATAACTTTCCCAATTAAAATTATTCTAAAATAAAAACTTTAACTCTACAGAGCCAGACAGCCAGGTTTTAAATCCTCCCCTACTCACAATGAGTGTGGACAAGTTCCTAAACCTCTGTATCTAGATCCCCTCAAGGTTGTTAAGATAAGAGCTTAGAACAGTACCCAGCCATGATAAAGTGTTAATTTCAAATAGATTCTAATTTTAAATTGATCAGAAAACATGTGAAAAATTATTCTAAAATTAAGAATATTTTTTTTCTTTTCCATGAAGCCAGGCATAAAGCCAGGATGATAATTGTTAAAAGCTAACAAAATGTCCTTGATTCCCATACCTGTTTAAATTATAAACCCAACTTCTCTTGAGTTTACTGTTTAGCCATGTTTATAAACCCTCCTAAGGTCATCAATAACGGGTACCCAAGCGACTTAGAAGAAAAGTTACCACTTCGAGTTTTGTGTATTCACCTGAATAGTCAGGGAACTTTCACCTATTTTATTTAGGTTTTCATTTATTCAAATTCCAACCAGAAGCTAAATACAATTGGAAACTGGTAAGCACTAAGTTTTACTCCAAAGGAGTAGGATCATTCAGATTTACTCCGATAAAAGTATGCAACCCTTAAGCAAAGCTTTTCTTCATTTAAAAGAAAAATAAAACCAAAAACCAAAAAAATCTATACAGTAGTCTTTCCTTATGTTCATTGCACAAAATGAGTTCTCCTTTTAGAACTTTGACACTCAATGGTGTTTTTGTATGTTTTCACAATTTAAGATCCAACTTTAGTAACTTTTCTACTTCAAAAAACCCTAAGTTTTCCTTTAGGGTGGTGTAAAAACCAGTATTTCTGCACAATTCACTGGAATTTTTTCCTTTATAATAAAAATCTTTTTAAAAACAAAAAACAAAACAAAAACCAAAAGGAAAGTCCTCTACCTATTACGGTTTCTGCAGCTATGAATGTATCTCTCAGTTTTATAGCTGCTTAGCTACTTCAGACTCCAGATCTGCTTTAATGTGTATCACTGAATCCACACTGAGCAGAATGCTCTTTCATAACAGCAACTTGGGGAGAGATCTGGAAATAAAATACATATATTTATGAGTACCAGGAAACAAACATGGCCCAGTAATATATGAGGCAAGAATGCCTACAATGAGATGCTTTTTTCATTTAATATTTCTTTCCCATGGTTGTATTTTCTTTTTTTTCTTTTTTTTTTTAAACAACCACTTCTGGTCATTAGAATGAATCTGACAGTGCTCTGGAACAATGTGATTATAACAAAGCTTTAAGTTTTTAAAATGTTATTTATACCTGTTACATTCACTTCTCACCCTCCAAATACTGATGACAGATGTCAAAGAGGCAAAACCCAGCACAAATGGAAAGACTATCAAAAATGAGTATCACCTTGTGCTTTCAGATACATTTAAGCATTTCAGTGTACAATAGTCCTTTCATTTCACATTTTTAGTAAGATGCTGATGCAGTGCAGCAAATATGCAAAGCATCTTCTTTCACACAGTCTGTGCAGAAGACATCTAATTTAAGTTCTGAGATACAAATGATAAAAAAAAAATCCAGGATGAACAAGTTTCAAAATGCATAGTGTTCTGTGCATGAGTCCATTTTCTTTAAACTCTGAAAGAATAAAGTGGTAAGAAAAAAAGAAAAAAAACTGCTGCTGCACTCTCTGATCTTCTCCATTTTGCTGGTCAGCACTCTATTCTGGCATATAAGGATGGAGGTGATCCTCTATGGTGCCAACTGCCCAGTGGGTAAGCTGCTCCTGGGGCAGGTAGAGGCAGATGCTGCATAACTTGAAGATTGTAGCTTTGTTTTTTGGAGTCTGGAAGGGGAAAATTTTTTTTAATATTCTTAATAAATAAAGACTTTAACATAAATGACCGATTATCACATGAAGTCCATCTCCCACAATTTATTAAGCACTTAATGGACACAGTAACAAAGCATACAGAGTAAGGGAAGAAACTATGGTTCCCATCCATAGGGACCTTAGCCTAAATAGGACAGAACCTTGCCATACAAAATATAGAGAAAACAGAGTAAACATGATTATAAACTAAATGTTTACAGAGTTTATGCAGAATAAAAAATTGAAAGTTAGGAAGGTCAAACACAGACTACTTGCTGAAAGAAATCAGGGTTAAAAGCATTTCATGGAGACAGATTTGAACAGAGGTTTGCAATCACATTTATATACAGAAAGACAGCAGATGTGGTGAAAGTAGATGGTAGAGAGATTAGAAATAGGTAAAAAAGATTTAAGTGTATCCTGGGGGAAAGGACTAGAAGGCCAAAGTATTAACAGTTAAATCAAACTCTAAGTATTTTTTAAAAAGCAGTTACTATTTTAACATCTAACATGTGATAAACAAATGCTAGGTGCTTTCACAAATAACCACTGCTAGTAAGTGGAAGACGAAATCTGAACCCAGAACTGCCTTCAAAGTTTTGCATCTTTTCACTATAGCACCTCTTAAAAAAAAAGGTGAAAGACTGCCTTTGCCAATGTCTGAAGCAGACTAGCTACCTACATATGTAAATGAACCTATACACATATATTTTTTCATTTTAACTTTTAAAACAACCTATGACTATTCAGACTCTAGGCATATGCCTCTATGCCATTGCGCATTCGAAGTTCTTTTTTGCTGTAGCCCTTATCATATATATTATATTAGGATATAAAGGACAGAAGATCTCTGCTAGATGATTTTTATCAAATTTCTTAATTTCTGGATTTCCTTAGCTATAAAATGGTAGTAGTAAGATCTACACCTCAGAAGACTGCTGTGAGGATTAAATAAGCTCATACACGTAAAGCTCTTAGTATAGAGTCTGGTGCATAATACAGTTGACCCTTCAACAACATGGGTTTGGGCTGCTCAGGTCCACTTATACACAAATTTTTTCCAATAAGTATACTGGGAAAATTTTGGAGATTTGTGATAATTTGAAAAAATAGACAAACCACGCAGTCTAGAAATTTCAAAAACAGTTAAGTGTGTCATGAATGCATAAAATGTATGTACAGATGACCCTTGAACAACACAGGCGGTGGGGCACCGACCCTACCTGCAGTTGAAAATCTGCATAGAGTTTACAGTCTTCCCTCCATATACTCGGTTCCAGATCAGCAGATTCAACCAACCATGAATTCAACCAACTGCAGATCGTGCAGTACTGTAGTATGTATTTATTGAAAAAACTTCATGTATTAAGCGGATCAGCGCGGCTCTAACCTGTGTCATTCAAGGGTCAACTGCAGACCCTAGTCTATTCTTACATAGGCCTAAGGTGAGTGACATTTAATATATAATTAATGTGTTAGCTTTCTACCTGTTTTATTGCTTTGCTTTCAAAGGATTACATTACCATACAGTATGCCTCTCTCACAACTGGAGAAATAACATAGCCTGTAAGTGGCTTTTAAAAAAATGTTACAATGTTTCTAATACTGTATTATGAATATGCCTATAATACTGTATGCCATGAAACTTTCATAGTGATTCATTCATTAGCATTCGTTAGTGGACAGCTAGGCTACCAAGAAGCAATCGTACCGATTACAGTACGCTGTCATAAAGCAACCATACTGCACTTCTTCAATATCAATACATGGATCATTATACCTGTAAATAAATATGAATTTCTTTTTCACATTATCTTTTTGATGTCTAATGTTACTAATATAATTAGTAGATGTTACTAATATAACACCTAGTGTTTTGTATCATATAAAACAATATTGTAGTTACTGACAATTCATCTTGTAAATAAAATTCATAAACTTAGGTATCAATAAATACAGTATAGTACTGTAAGTATATTTTCTATTATGATTTTCTTAACATCTTCTGTTCAGCTTTATTGTTAAGAATACAATATATGACACACATAACATACAAAATACGTGTTAATCGACCATTTACATTATTAGTAAGGCTTCCAGTCAACAGTAGACTAGTTAAGTTTACGAGGAGTCAAAAGTCATATGTAAACTGTACAGGGGTTGGCACCCTTAACCCCTGAATTGTTGAAGCATCAACTGTATACTATAGGTGGTGGCCACCACTATTATATCAATTCCCTCATGAACTAGTGGAGGTTGATTCTTCCATATAATGCCAATACAGCAACACATCTCCAGCTTGTGAAGATCGAGAACAGAACCTGAGTGGAAGAAGGGGACTAAGAGCACTGAAGAACAAATTAATCTACAACTAGCAGATACCAGTGATCCCAGTGTGCCCAGGACTGACTGAGGGGTTTCTAGGACCTGGGACTTTCTGGTATTAAAACCAGGACATTCCAGACAAACTGAGACTACTGGTCACATCCTACCTTCAACCCAAATTTAGCTTATGAGCTTATAATTTTCTTTTCATTAAAAGGATTCAAGCTGTTTGCTTCATAAAATATTAACACCTGACCTCGATACATAAAAAGAGATGATTTGTTAACTTATTTAGCCAAGAAACTCCTTCAATTCACTAGTCATTTCTATATAGTATTATTGACCTCACATATATTCACGTGAATATGAAGTTGCTACACTAGTGTATGTTATTATTAAATCTATGACTAAAAATCTGTTGTGGATTCCACAATATAAGTCAATAAATACCCTGCTATACAGTATTTTCTCAACAAGTAACTCAAATGAAAGTACACTACAGGCAATTAAAAAGGAAACAAGAGTCAACTAAAAAGTATTCACCAAGGGCTTCCCTGGTGGCGCACTGGTTGGGAGTCTGCCTGCTGATGCAGGGGACATGGGTTCGTGCCCCGGTCCAGGAAGATACCACAGAGCGGCTGGGCCCGTGAGCCATGGCTGCTGGGCCTGCGTGTCCGGAGCCTGTGCTCCGCAACGGGAGAGGCCACAGCAGTGAGAGGCCCACGTACCGCAAAAAAAAAAAAAAAAAAAGTATTCACCAAAGGAAAGCTGAGGTAAAGAAGAAACTGAGAACAAACAGTAAGGCCAAAACCAAAAACACCCCACCTAAATTGTATGGTTCTTCTATCAGTTTTATCAGATGCTTCCAGTGAAATTAATCTTTTTTTTTTTTTGCGGTACGCGGGCCTCTCACCACCGTGGCCCCTCCCGTCGCGGATCCGGAGGCGCAGGCTCAGCGGCCATGGCCCACTGGCCCAGCCGCTCTGCGGCATGTGGGATCCTCCCAGACTGGGGCACGAACCCATGTCCCCTGCATCGGCAGGCGCACTCCCAACCACTGTGCCACCAGGGAAGCCCCTAATCTTCTTAATTCCCAGTTTTTTTATTTGTACCTACACCATAATTACTTAACTTTTTACAAAACGGAAAATGTACAATCTTCCCAAGTAGTCTATCAGCTCCTTGAAGGTAGCAGTATGATTCCCATTTGTATTTTTCTAGTACCTTGCATAGACTCGCTCTTAAATAAAAACAAAAATGTTCTACAATGTAATTAATAGTGTACTTTTAAAATAAGTCTTAATTTAAATCACCTTCTCAATGAGGCCTTCTCTGGTGACACCATCTAAGAATTCACACCCAACAGTTTATGTAATTCGCTCTTTTCTCTTAGCACTTATCACTATCTAACTATATATTTTACTTATCTACTTCTAGGTCTCCCACAATGGAATGTCAACCCAAAAGGAATTTCTAACTTGTTCATCGCCGTACAGTGCCTGGCACTTAGCGCTCATTTGTTGAATGAATGCTAAATAAATTGAAATGATGCCATTTTTAAAAGTTAATAACAAAGTATCGATTATCTACTATAAATTCTAAGTGATGATATTTAGGCTTAGATTGGTAAGAATAAACAACACTTTACAAAATAAAAATCAATTTGGAATACCTGGATTGCTATTTAAATCGGAAGTACTTATTTAAAACACATGTGGACCTTTTAAAAACAGATGTGCCTCATCCTTTCAGGTATTATTTAAAAGGTCTAGGCCAGTGCTTCTCAAAACATAATGTGTTATCACTTGAGGATTTTATTCAAAGTAAAAATTTTGATTATTGCACACTGGAATCATGACTTCTAAAAGCTCCCCAGGTAGTTCTAATATGCAGCAAAGTTTTGGGAACCACTGTTCTTGGTTAAGGTCAGGACGTCTGTGTCTTGGTTTTTAAGTAACTTCAAAATTAATGCCATGTTGAAGGAGCAAAACAGAATTAAGTAACATATAGAAAACAGTCTGCTAACCAATAAGCTTTTAAAATGAGCCCTTATGTGGTTTAAAAAAAAAAAAAAGAAAAGTAAAAAACTGCTTACCTGCAAGTGCTGTCTGTCAATGAAGAGAAACACTGACTGGTTAGGATTGTTGACAACAATTCCAGTCTTGTCCTTTCGGCTCAGTACGTGCAGAAACTGTTTTTCATAGTCACCGTGATGAAACTCAAATTTGGCCTAATTAAGAAATATAAATGTTTATGTGTAACCACAAACATGTTATATACCACCTGAAACATCAACTGCACTCGTATGCATAGAGTTGTGCTGTTCAGTACGGTAACCAATAGAGGCTACTTAAATTTATATTAATTAAATGCAATTTAAAATTCAGTTCTTTAGTAGTACTAGCCACATATCAGTATGATCAATAGTCACATGTGGCTTGTGGCCTCCATTCTAACTAGTCTCTTGAGATACAGAAGATTTCCTTCATCACAGAAAGTTCTACTGGATAGCACTTCATAGTTTGACCTTTAAGAAAAACTACACCAAACTGACTAAATCCTAATACTCAATGATTTTAAGCCAAATATCATAAAGTCAGATTTTCAAACCCACTCAGCTCAAGACCCCTACCTTAGTATTTTAAGCCCAATGACACATCCCTTCTTGCTATTATAACATATAAGGAATACTGTAGATGGTTCTTGGAAATAAATCTATTTATATTCCAAATTCCAATCCCAGCTGCACATCTCACTACTTATACGACCTGTGCAAATCCCTTAACTTTTTAAGACTTAAAACAGGGCTCTAACCCATCAGTTAAGAGGAGTAAACGAAATGTAAAGCCCACACCTGAAATATGCTTCCAGTCCTCACAAGGATGAGCACCTGAGGATACAGGAACCCCTCAAATTTTTTTTTTTTTTTTTTGCAGTACACGGGCCTCTCACTGCTGTGGTCTCTCCCGTGTGGAGCATAGGCTCCGGATGCGCAGGCTCAGCGGCCGTGGCTCACGGGCCCAGCCGCTCTGCGGCACGTGGGATCTTCCCGGACTAGGACACAAACCCGTGTCCCCTGCATCGGCAGGCGGACTCTCAACCACTGTGCCACCAGGGAAGCCCCCCCTCAAATTTTTAAAAACCGTTTTTATATGTATTTTTTCAGATGATTAAAAAAAAACTTTTTGTTATGAAGAACAGTTATCAAGTCAGTCATAATATTCTTTTAATCTTTTAACATGAGGAAGATTAACACAATCCTCCCACAAAATGTCTGTGAAGAGGCCAAATGCTAGGTGAAAACACCAGGCTAACGGGGAATTCAAGAAACGTGGAAACTTTAATCTGATATTTAGATAGTGAACTGTAAAAATGATTAGTAGTCCATTCAGTTCAAACAATCTTTATTCTCCTATTATGTCAAAGACAGCAGAAAATACTAACATGGAAAAAACATCAGTTCCTGCTATCTAGGATTTTACTACCCAGTAGTTTTTCTCATAAACCATAACGCAAAAGATGTTATGGTATCCCCTATGTACTATTGTATGTAAAATGTAATACTGAATTGTACCTCTGCACAATTCAAATATTTATTGAACTCAGAATACAAAAAGCATGTTATCAGATACTGAAAAATATGAATAAGACTATCTCAACCTTAAGGGACTCACATACTGCTGAAGAGGAAAAGCACACAGAAATATAAAACCTAACCTGCTTCAAATCTTTCCCCGAATAAGATGTGGTTATTTGTAAAAAACCTAAAATGGGTTCTTACTGTTAAAGTGCTATGGGAAGAAAGAATTAACAGAGTAGACAAGAGTGCAATATTAGGAAGTGATTTTGCATTGGGCCTTGAAAGATGACAGTAATTTTCCTTGGAGAAAACAGTAATGGTCGCAAGCGGGAAGAGATATGGGAATATATGTATATATATAACTGATTCATTTTGTTGTGAAGCTGAAACTAACATACCATTGTAAAGCAATTATACTCCAATAAAGATGTTAAAAAAAAAAAATAGTAATGGTAAGTAATTTGGAAAATGCCGTTATAGGAAACAGAACCTACACAAACGCAAGTGTCAAAATCAAGACACTGCTCAAGAAAGCAAGCCTCAAGTGTTTCAATATGGCAAATACCAGGGTGGATGAAGAGGCCAGTAGAGTATCACACTGAAAAGAGATTTGAGTGAGACTGGAAAAGGCCTTGTCCGTATTTCTATGGCACTTCAGTTCTATCCTATTTGAATATCCAAAGATTTGGGAAAAAGCGGTCCACACTGAAAAGAAAACTCTCATAGGTACCATGTAAGAAATAATTCCCAGAAGAAAAGTAATGAATGTTTTAATAGTGTGATAAAGAGCTAACCTAAAGCAACGGCATAAGGGATGAAGAGGAAAGAAGAGATCTACTTTACTAGTACTTCTCTGTACTTCACAGCACTGTGAATACAATAGAACTGGATATTTTAAAACAATCTTTACTCTGGCTCCTATTAAATCTCACGACTGAAGTATTCAGATTTTAAACTGCTTCGAGTCAAAAAAAAAAAAAAGTGTGAGTTAAAGTTTACTTTTCCTTTTCTCACCTATCTTGAGAGAAAAAACTATGTTATTTTTATTTAAAGCTTTTCAGGATATGTATATTAAATTACTTCAGAGAAGTGTATTTGTTTTTACATTGATACCTTATTTACTGCAGTAGAATTCTAAAATTATAAAGCTATTACCTATATCCTACTGCTTATATTCAGTCCGTAAGTTAACGTTTTATCATTCGTGGAGCTTTCCACAGTACAGGGTAGCGAATTAAACAAATTCTTTGTTTTTCTGATTGTTAAATAAGTATGCTCATTAGAAATTTACTGAAACACATACATATATTTAAAAAGGAAAAGTTAGCTATATCTGACCTAAAACTAATCACAATTAACACTTTGGTGGATCTTGTTGTACTTCCTTCCATTCATATATATATATATATATATATATATATATACACACACTATAAATAAAATTAAATCATCAACACCCAGGTAAATGCCCTGAAATAAAGCACTAGAATTGTCAAGCACATCAAATGACAAGTCAAAACATAGCAAGATGTCAAGGAAAGTTAATTAAGAACCACTACTACATTTACTTTTCTCCTGTAAAGTTTTTATGCAAATCAACTCCTAGAAAAGGGTTTAATTCATTTCTTAGATTCCTTTGACAACCAGGGTTAAGTATAAAGTATTTTAGGAGAGTGTGTGGTGCAGGGGAAGAGATTTTCTGAAGTTCATCTATGGGCTCCTCTATAAATAAACAAATGTCTACCTTAAAAGATTTTCTCTGACCATAATTTCAAGGACACACTGGATAGTTAGACCCACCTCATTCTCAAGAGATTCTATAATCCAAACGCTTCCTATTCTTGCATTACAACAGTCAAAAGGCGAGGAGGGACTCATGAAGTAAAACTTATTAGAGAGCATATTCCCAAAGAATTTCTTTAATTGGACCCTATTCTGAGTTTTCAACTTGTTTACATGTTCACCACACTTATTTTAGAATAAAATACCTGAACAGGCCTAAAAGGCTCATCAGATTCTTTCCACCGAGAGAACAGGAGACAGACAATTTTTTCAATATCATTCCGAGGCCAAAGAATGAAATCCATCTCCTGAGTACAGCCAATTACATCCTATAAAATGCCAAAAAAAAATAAAAAATAAAAATTTACTTTCAAGGAAACAAAGCCGGAACAAGCAGTGTCACAACTTACAGGGTTTGACTACAGAAACGTTTTACAAGTGCAAAAGGTCCACTATACAGCCGACCCTTGAACAGCTTGGGCATGAAGGGCACTGAGCAGAGTCGAAATTTCAGCACACAACTTTATAGCCAGCCCCCCATACACCTACAGTCCTGCATCTGTGAATTCAACCAACTGTGGATTAAGTAGTATTGTATATGTATTTATTGAAAAAATCTGCTTATAAGTGGATCCTGGCAGTTGGTGCAAATCTGTGTTGTTCAAGGGTCAACCATGTATCACTTTATGTCTTTTATGAGGTTTGTATACAATTTGAACAGCTCATGACCTAATTCTAATTTTTATCTTATAGAGTCCACATAATCACTCAGTCCAATGTTTTTCACATCAAGATCTTAACTCAGTGCATAGTGAAAACTCCAACCGCAGCTCTAATTTTTTGTCTTTTTTTTTTTAAAGTCCTTGTACCATTATTTCCACTCTTCAAAATCAGAACTTCTAATATAAATCACTACCTTCTAATCACAGGTGAAATGCTATTTTTGTTGTATGCTGATTATTGAGGCCAACTAACCTCTTCCAGACCAGTATATGGTTATCTCCAGCCTCCCCAACAAGCCCACTAATCCCGGGGACCTCTTGTTCAAGCTTGCCTAGACTAACTTTCTTTCAATGAGCTGCAGAAGTTTAGCAAAATTCCTTACTTATAAGGGGCACGATGTTCTCCCCTGAAAAAGGAAATCCCAATGAACAGTAATATAAACCACGAACCACAGCAACAATGTACACAATTACCAACATAATAACACATAAGAAAGTTATCCATGCTTTATTTAAATTCCACTTTTAAAGAGATTTATGACCATAATTAACTACCCATTCTTAGGAGGAAGAAAAACCCAAGTTTAACTCACAAAAACCTACCAAAACCAAGACAAAAATAGAATTTACCCTTCTCATAGACTGGTATCGAGGAGCATGGAGCTGTACCACATCCTTCTGTAAAAGCTCTATGGAACTTTCCAAGGAATAGCTGGAATCTCGCACACCTTTCAGGATATTTTCTTCATAATTATTTGTCATGACTGGTATAACCTCAGACACTTCAAAGAGTGCTGATTTTTTCTTCTAAAAGAAAAAAAAAAGTGTATTAACCCAAAGGTAGCACACTGTCTTAACACCCAGAGTTCATATTACAATGTCATGTACCTTTATTCTAACCCAGCAAAATTCTTAACTGATGCAATTTTTGTACTGAAAACACAGATTTCCAAATAGGTGGATCCTTCTGTTCTTCTCCCAACCCCCTTACTCCTCTACCACACACAAACAGGCTATTATCAGAATGTTTTAACTGCATGGTTTTATAGCATTATGGTAACCATAGCAAGTACTTATTTTAGACAATATTTCTTAAATGGTGTGAGAAACAAACACCAGATACCCCTAAGGTTAAAAAAACAAAACAGTGATTTACTCTTGATGTAAATTCACTTAACTGGTCCTATATACAGCCAAATTAAAATTTCAGCAGTTTAAAATCAAAGCTCTTCAGACAAATTAACTGCTTCACTCCTTAAAAGGGTCAATTTCCATTACTCCTTCTGGATATTACGTAACTACAAGCGTCAACATTCAAGAAAAAAAAAGTCTACCAAATCTTCAAACGTAGTTAAGATCAAGGGCTCATCATCAACTTAGGTTATAAAATTTATCAACTGCTCAGACAACTGCCTGGATACTGTCCATTCAAAGAATAAAAGCAGGTTTTCATAGGTGTTAGAAGAGCTAGATGGTATAATCTGGGGCATCTCACAGATTACATTCAAATATCTAGTCTCACTACTTATATCTTGTATTTATTTCTAGTGAACCTACATTATAATGGCTTCAACTAAAATCTCATCTTATCAATGCTGCAATTAACAAAAAAAGGAAAAAAAGAAAAGAAGTAAATCCGTGATATCATTTCAAAACAAACCACTTTTGAAACCACTTTAAAATGCTATACTCTAGTAGCTAAGAGCATTCTTAAATATTGAATACTAGTATCTTTAATAGTGGGGTAAAAACGTGGGAAAATTAAAGGGATACCAAGCTAAGATGATGTTTCTGATGTGAAATTAGCTCATAATTTAAGCACAAAATCAAAGTAGTATTTCCTTAATATTCATAACCTGACCTCATGTCAAAGAGAGATCGATTATCTAAGAAAGTGTCCATTATTTTAAGTTGCAAAAAAATACTGCTTTTATCATGTTCTCCTCACAACTTATTATTTGCTATTTAACTGTGAATTAATTCTGATTAAGACAAAAAAAATTTAAACTTCTTTTGGTCATTCTGAATTTTAATCAACTGCACTTCTAAACACAAATTAAACCTTTACAGTAATCAATTGCCCTAAGAATTAAAGTGCATTCTATTTCGTTAAATGTACCATGAGAAAAGGTAACGAGTTGATGAACCAGATCGCTTTCAGCATATAAACATTTTGATTCTAATTTACTACTTTCAAACATTCTGTATACTTTAAACAATCTTTAAATTCAGTTATCAAGTTCTTTATGTAACTCCACGTAAATGAAATTCATTGTAAAACATAAATGAGTTTTACAAATGCTACCCACCCCATGTTAACTAAAAGTGGATCCTAAGAAGCTTTAGAATTAAGTAATACCAAACCAAGAGCACTCAAGCCTTCCGTTCATAGTTATACCGCAACTCCTTTGATTGAGATAATTACCCACAAGAGTCAAAGTTAAAGCACACAAATGTAGACTCTTTAACCTAATATACACTTACAAAAATCACTTGTGCTAATTCACATTAAGAACTTTAAATTACCTTCTCCTTGAATACAAAGGCAATATACATCTTGAAGTCAAACTGGTCAGCTAGAGATTCTTTTTTCTTTCTAAGCTGAGCACGTAGTCTGTTCAGAGCTTGTTTCTTCCGGGAGTTTGGGTCCCCCATTTTGAAATACAGGTGGTACTAAAGCCTTTGGAAATTGTCACTAAACTATGGGCACTTTTTCTTAAGACTCAAGTACAACAGAAACAAGTCATTTTTTTCCTGCTAATATGATTGAATAGCTAAAATCAAGACTGTAACCCAAAAACTGCACCTTCTGGCAATATTAGCAGACTGTCATATTACAGGGTCAAGAAACAAAAGCTGCTGTCCAGTCATGTTTGGACAATAACGTTTGGGGTCAGATGGGAAAAAGGAAGGGAAGGAAGGAAAGAAAGAGGAGAAAATACTTGAACTAACTTTTTGGAAAACACATTTGGCTTAACTGCCAAAATAAAGGTGGGGGAACTGAAAAACCTATTAATAGGATTTAGGTGTGCAATAAAACACAGCTGACATCAGTCCAATCCTTAAAATCCATCCGGATTTTTTCCCCTCTTTTCAGAGAAGGGATAATGAAAAGGAATGGGGAGGGGGACTGTGATCCTTGCTTTCTGAATGTCAAAAAAAAAAAAAAAAAGGAAAGGGGAAAAAAAAGCCACCAAAATAACCCCCCAAAACAGGGTAGGTGAATGAAACTGAAATACCCAATTGGATTTTACCCAGCCAGATCCATGGCTGTAGTACCTAATTAATTCTTAGTTATTTCAGATTTCACTATTGCTATATATTGTCAGTGCGTGTTATTGATTACACTTGGTGGTGAGCAAAGAGAAAAGTGCAAAATCGGTTGAGAAGGAAGGGGAGAGGTACAGGGCTTCCCTGCAATCAACTACAGTGTATACCGGGGGCGGGCAGCTGTTGCCCAAAGGAGCCATAAGAAAAAACAGCGGAGTCATTACCAACTTCCCCATCACCCACATTTTCACCCTCAGGCGGCTGCTAATGCTGCTGCCAAGGAGAATCATGATGGCACAGGGAAAGGGGGTACAGAATACAGTAATGACTCCGGCTCTGTGGTTAGACCTGATTAACGCCCGGGATCCCAACACCCCAAGTCCTGCAATGAGTCCTACATTCCCCAAGGGAGCCTTCCCTATGAATCTGCCCCCGTGCACGACCGTGGGGAGTGCGACTTATCTTCTTGTGAGCATTGCTGAGGCAAAGGTGGCGGGCTCTTCTCCCAAATCCCAGGCAGTGCCTGGGGACCACCGGCCTTCCACCCCCCAGGTCCCACCCCCACCCTTTGCCTTCAGCGGCAGCGACTCACTCGCACCACGGGAGACACTGGATCACTCGGGTTTTCACTCATTTCATCGTGGAAACAATCCCCGCCCGGGTAGAGGAGGCGGGAGAGGGTAAATGGGAAGGATCAGTGGGAAGAAAAGAAAATAGTTGCGTTAATATTATTTTTTAAAGTATGCCCACCCCACCCCCCCCAAGAAAAAAAAATTAAGTTCCCGGATTCCGCTCTCACGTTGAACAGACCATGTTTCCCGAGTTTGAATTGCTTAGGGCGGGGTCGTTAGTTGGTTTCCCAAAGGGGTAGAGGGTGGACTCGAGGCAGCTGGGTCGGGGGTGGGTGACGGGGAAGTCCCCTCCCTGTCCCCGCGGAGACCGGGACTCACTGACCGACTCTCGGGTGGGGTTCGGGCCCTCTAGCCGCAGCCCGCGGGCGGAGCGGTGGCGGCGGCGGAAGAGGAGGCGGCGGCGGGGGCGCTGCTCGCAGCACTGGCAGGAGCCATGTCAAGAGAAAACCACCAGCCAACTGAGCCCCTCCATCCCCGCTGCAGTGCGCACTGTGACCGGGCCGCCCGCGCTGCTGCCGCCGCTCAGCCCCCACCTGGGACCCATAGTCTGGCTCGGCGCCCCGGGCGGCGGCGGACTGGAAGGACGCGAGTACGGCGGCGACGGCGAGAGAAAGAGAGAAGGAGAAACGAGGAGGAAGAGGGGGGTCGGATTTGTACTAGCGGCAGAGGGGGAAGGGAGGAAGGGGAGGGGAGCCCTGCGCTAAGGGGGGGGGGGGTCTGTCAGCGAAGTAAACCCCCCAAAATAAAGTTATTTCAGTTCAAGCATCTGCTCTGGAGTCTTTCTTCTCCGCACGGGTCGAGTTCCGGCTCTCGGAAAGAAGGTCGAGGAGACCAGGAGGGGAGAGATGCTGAAGCGGAGGGTGGGCTTCCGCGGTGGCACAGCTCGGATCCCCCCCACCGGTGGCTGCGGAAGCGGCAGCGGCGGCGGCGACCTCGACGCCTCCCGGGTCCGGGTCAGAGTCGCGTTTGAGAAGAGAAGCGAGAACAAACAACTTAAAATGGCAGCGACGGCCGCTGCGTCACCCGCCCCTCACCGGCACCGCCCCGAACTCTCTGCGGCTGCGCACCCCGCGGGCCGCCACCATCCGCGCAGAAGCGAAGAGGGAGAAAAAACTGGAAGGGGGGAAGGTTTACATGGTTGTCAAAGAAGGGAGGAAAGAAGAGCTGGAGCAGAGAGTGTGAGTAAGCTTTTAAAAGGGTGATTCTTTGAGCTTAAGCTTCTTAGTTAACATTCCGCCTCAAAGGGAAGTTTGAGAATAGACACTCCCCTCTTGTCCAGTATGGAGTTTCCATAGGGCGTGGAAAGGGCCGACCCACTCTCCCTCCGCCCCCTCTGTCGGGAGGTCCCGGGCTCCAGAGTTGGCCCCTCGCCCCTCCCACTCTGTCGTCAAAAAGCCACGCCCTTATGCCCTCCTAGACGAAGCACCAGGATGGATTCACTCTTCCCTCGGCTGGTCCGCCTCTTAGACTCCGCCGGGTCGCGGGACGGGGCGGAGCCGGTGGGCAGAGAGTAAGCGAAGGTGAAGGAGGCGGAGTAAGGGAGGAAAAGGGAAATAAGTGTCGGAAGAGGAAGCAAAGACTCCCATTTCAGTTCGTTGTGGTTTTATTTCTAAACCACTGATTGGTAGTCCTTCTGGTCTGCCCCGCGGTATCTTGCAGCTGAAAAGTCATTTCCAATAATTGGAATTTAAACAGCGTGCAGCAGAAAGTGGCTCACGTTGGTCGCACATGGCTCTCTGTCCCCACCTCGCCATGTGCGCAGGGAGGGAGGACGGCCCTCAAGCTCCGAAGAAGGTGAAAGACGCCGCCGTTGGAGCGTTGCTGCTGTGGCTTAGCAGAAAAACTGCCGAACCTGCCCCTTGGATCATTTTAACCCTACTTTGAGAACACAATTTCTTTCTTTTTTTTTTTGAGTTTTTGAACTTTATTTTATTTTTTTATACAGCTGGTTCTTATTAGTCATCAGTTTTCTGCACATCAGCGTATACATGTCAATCTCAATCGACCAATTCATCACACACACACCCCCACGGCTTTCCCCCCTTGGTGTCCATACGTTTGGAGAACACCGTTTCTATGGCGATCCGTCAAACAGGACCTTAGACCTAGGACCTGTTCCCTTAGGTGGTTCTCTGTCTTCCTCAAAATATGAAGAGGGTACTGTGGGACGGACCCACACATCCAAATCACAGGTCTTTGGCACGAAAAAGCAATGAGTCCCACTTTTCAGAGCTCCAGTGTGCCTATAAAAACTCAGTTATATAAATAAGTAATCAGCAAAGGCCAACACTCAACAAAAGCAAAGCCTACATAATCCTTTATGAGCTACTCTCTGTGATGAAATTTTAGAACTCTATTGGGTCCCCAAAGTACTGCTCTTCACTTGGTAAAATCAAAATAGATGACCTGTAATGACATATTTTTCACCCATGAATTAAAAGAATAATTGCAACCCACCCTTCAAAATAAATTGTTCACAACTAAAAGATGAGATTCCTGAGGTTTCCAAATTATTGTTAACCTTGAAAGATAAATCTAGCATTTTCCTAGTGCTTCCCTGATTGATTTTCACAATCACATAATGATAACTGTGCAGAAAACTCAAAGGGTAAAATTGAGGATTTCAGGTAGTTTAGGACATTGGTTTTTAAAAAAAGATATAAAAAAATAGTAATGGTTCATGTCTTCTTGATCTGGCCCTAATTTGTATCCAAGATCATCTCCTTGGAAGAGTTGTTGTTTTTTTTAAGTACCTTTATTAGAAATAAAATTCACACACCACAGAATTTACCTATTTAAAGTGTACAATTCAATGGATTTTAGTATATTCACAGAGTTGTGCAACCATCACCAGAATTTGAGAACATTTTCAACACCCAAACAAGAAACCCCATGCCCAGTAACAGTCACTCCACTTCTGCCTCTTCCCAGCCCAACCACTAATCTATGTTTTGTCTCTATAGATTTTCCTTTTTTGGACATTTCATATAAATGGAATCATACAATGCATGGTCCTTTACTTAGCCTAATGTTTTCAAGGTTCATCTGTGTTGTAGCATGTTTCAGTACTTAACTCTTTTTTATTGCCGAATAACATTCCATTGAATGGCTATTCCATATTTTGTTGATCCATTCATCAGCTGATAGACTTTTAGGTTGTTTCTGCTTTTTGGCTAGTAAGAATAATGCTGCTGGGACTTCCCTGGTGGCACAGTGGTTAAGAATCCGCCTGCCAGTGCAGAGGACACGGGTTCAAACCCTGGTCCGGGAAGATCCCACATGCAACTAAGCCTGTGTGCCACAACTACTGAGCCTGCACTCTAGAGCCCACGAGCCTGAGCCCGCATGCCACAACTACTGCAGCCCGTGTGCCTAGAGCCTGTGCTCCGTAACAAGAGAAGCCACCGCAATGAGAAGCCCGCACACAGCAAATAAAGAGTAGCCCCCGCTCGCCGCAACTAGAGAAAGCCCGCGTGCAGCAACGAAGACCCAACACAGCCAAAACGTACACACATACATACATACATACATAAATAAATAAATAAAAAGAATGCTGCTGCTATGAGCATTTCTGTAAATGTTTTTGTGTAGACTTCTGTTTTCAGTTCTCTTGGATGGAATTACGGGGCAAATGTTAACTCTATCTTTAACCATTTGAGAAACTGCCAGACTGTTTTTACAAAGTGTTGGCATCATTTTACATTTTAGTCAGAAGTGTATAAGGACTCTAATTTCTCCACATCCTTGTTGTTGTCTGCCTTTTTGATTATAGTCATCCTAGTGGGTGTGAAGTGGGTATCTGACATTGGTTTTGATTTGTCTTTCCATAATGATTAATGGTGTTGAACATCTTTTCATGTGCTTTTGGCTGTTCTATCTTCTTTGGAGAAATTTCTGTTCAGAGATTTTGCCCATTTTTTGGAGTTGATTTACTTGTCTTTTTATTATTGAGATGCAGGAGTTCTTTATTCTAGATACAAGTCCCTTATCAGATATATGATTTGCAAATATTCGCTCCCATTCTATGGGTTGTGGGTTTTCCCTTTCTTGGTGGTGGTCTTTGCAACACAAAGTTTTAAATTTTGTTCAAGTCAATTTTATCTGTTTTTTCTTTTGTTACTTGTGCTTTTGGTGCCTTAGCTATGAAACCACTGAAAACTTTTTACACTGCTATAATAATCGTGAAAAAGCACGATGGAGCAGATGTTGAGGTAAAAAATGAAGTTTTCAGTTTCAGCTCCTATGAAATAGAATCGGAGACACCTGGTCACAAGCTGAACAAATCCTAAGACACTGTGTGCTGTGCGTCTGTGTCAGGTCTCAGTGACACGAGCCAAGGAATAGCAGCAATGTTCCCTGGGGGAAGAAAACACTTCTAGCTCAGTTTTCTCCATAACTACAATTACGGCCAGTAAGCATACTAGCTGTTTCAGGAATTCTCAAATATTTTGTCTCCCTTCATTAATGCTGTTAAGTTTATCAGACATGGGCCTTGATTTTGGTCATATGTATGACTTACAGTTTAATAAGCATGATAAACATCTATACAGAACAAGTTTATGCTTAAGTCAATCCAGGCCTAGAGAACTAGTTCTGAAACTCTCCAGTTTGATCCTAAAAGCAGCAGCACCAGAGCCTGGTCTCCAGATTTCAACCTTACAGGTGTACCATCTAAGGTAACTGATAATATGGGGCAATAAAATTCCACAGTCCAAGAGCGTTTATTCACAGCACACACTCTGGCACATACAGCCCGCCCATCCACAGCAGTCACATGGTTACTCAACAAAAATGATATAAAAGGAAAAATTATATTTGTTTTCTGGGCCTTTTCTGGGGTGTGGGGGGAACATAAGGAGATAGTTAATTTCTCCTCTAGGCTTACCCTACTTTCATGTAGGCCCGAACTGTGGAGGTCAGTACTTATTTGCAGCCTGATAGTTGAATATTTCCTGAAGGCCTAAAGCAAGTTACAGGCTTGGAAAATAAGATTTGGCCAGGTAACCAGCATTCTCCTAAGTTTGGAACACAGTTAAGAACCAGACGAATAAGCTGGGGAGCACTCACACCACACTATGTTTTTTCTTTATTGTTTAAACTCTTCTTCTTTCCCCACTTCCTTTCTTTCTCTCTCCTAACTTCCCTTTTTTCTTTTCTACTTCTCATGCTTTATGTCTACAGGTATTATCCAAAAATATTACTTCACGCCCTCCTGTTTATACTTTGGGTTAAAGATGTACAGACTGCTGTCCAGAAGAATCTGCTGATACTATTTGAGAAGGAATTTTTTACCCATTATCTTTGTCTGTTAGTCTCAATTTGTAAAAGAAAAAGTAAATGCCATCAGAAACATTTTAATTTCATTTTCCTTGAACCCTGGCTCCCACTGACTTTTGCTTCTTCACTATTAACTTCACTTCAAAGATCTTTCTTGCTTCCCTGTCACTCCCCAAATTCCAAATGCTATTACTAACTATTCCATTTAATGTATATAGGAAGGTTATAGCAGTCAATTGGAAAAATCTGGCTTCTAACACTTTTGTTAGAAATACATGATCACCATTAGAAATAAAGTATTATAAAGAGTTTGCTCCAATCCCACTACTGGGCATATACCCTGCCCTGAGAAAACCATAATTCAAAAGGACACATGTACCCCAATATTCATTGCAGCACTATTTACAATAGCCAGGACATGGGAACAACCTAAATGTCCAACGATAGATGAATGGATAAAGAAGATGTGGTACATATATACAATAGAATATTACTCAGTCATAAAAAGGAACGAAATTGGGTCATCTGTAGAGATGTGGATGGACCTGGAGTCTGCCATACAGAGTAAAGTAAGCCAGAAAGAGAAGAACAAATATCGTATATTAATGCATATATGTGGAATCTAGAAAAATGGTACAGATGAACCTATTTGTAGGGCAGGAATAGAGACG